AAGGTTTAATACAGTTCAATACCAAATCATCAGCAACAAAAATCTTCCCATATGGGGATTAAACCTGATCAAACCATCTGTGTGTGTGTGTGTGTGTGTGTGTGTGTGTGTGTGTGTGTGTGTGTGTGTGTGTGTGTGTGTGTGGTTTGGAGGTATCTGTGGGTGGGTCTTGACATCCACCAGCCTTCCCTCATATTTTCAATCCACCGGACCAATCCATCTTGTCTAATCTATGCATTTGTTGTAACATGTGTGCATGTAGGTCAGAGATTATACTGTGTGTGTGTGTGTGTGTGTGTGTGTGTGTGTGTGTGTGTGTGTGTGTGTGTGTGTGTGTGTGTGAAAGGGAGAATTCATTACCTAAACATAATGAATGTTCTCTGGCTGTTGAGGATGTAATATTGTCTATAAATTCATATGTGAACATATGCATGTATATATGTGTGTTTGTGTGTGTGTGTTTGAGCATGTGTGGAAAGAGGACCATTGCTTTTTTACACCATTTCTTGTCTTTATTACCCAGTGTGTGCAGTGTGTGTCCTTTAGCACGTGTGTGTCACGGCAGAGGGCTCTCCATATATCCCACCCTATGCGTTTATTACCAAGTCACAACTCATCCATCACGGCTATTCATGTGTCTTCCACCACCGCGGCTGCTCTCGCTCCCTCAGGTTAACAGTATTGGCGTTTAACTGAGGGATGCGAGGCACGTTTCCACTTACACAGCGTTACAACATTCAACATTCAGTCCACGTGTAACGCTCCCCCGACGCTGCTAATTCTAATTCACAGTCTCACTGGCAGCAGCAGCCACCCCTCATGCCACTGAAACCCTTTCCTCCCTCACCCTCTGACATAAGGAAGTAAAGATGGAAAAGGTGTGAAGTCAGTGTAAACATGAACTGCAACAGATGTAAAAACTCACTTTTTCCTGTTGATGTTGGCCCAGTTCTTCCTGAATTTTAAATAGAAAATGGCATAATTGTCCTGTCCAGTTATTTAAAAGATAAATCCTTTTTTCGAAACTTAAAAATGATGAGTGCGTTAACTGTGATGTACAGTGCAAAAGTATTAAAAGCTTAAAGCCCCCCTCCTCTGAAAAAATCTGTTTTTATTCTTGTTCCTATAGTTGTATGTTTGATCTTCATTGTGTAGATCTGGATCAATACAAATACAATAATAACAATACAACGCCAAAATCACAGTGTTCAAATCTCAGTATTTCAGAATAAAATAATAATCACTTTATATTCAATTTAAACTCTTTAAGCTATTAGAATTAACATAAAAAATAGGCTATTAAAATAACCAATTCTATGTACAGTGCTTATTCTATATCATTCTATCATGTACAATTATTGGCATTACCAATATAAAACAATTATGTTTTCTGCCTGTGCATTAAGTCACACGACAATAACACGTTATGAGCACGGTATAATCCCTCATTATTCCTCTTTGATTGCCGATGGCAAAAAATTAATTAATATTTAATAATGAGCCAAATGCAGAGTTTGACACTAGAAGGATGTTTTCATATTCATCTGCTGAAAGTGGAATGTCTATCTGTGCTTTAAGGGCTTGCAGGTCAGTCCTGGTCCAGTGTGCAACTTGTACAGTGTGATGTAGAAACAGTAACACACTGAGAATGGACTTTACAGTGAAGTAGGAGACATCCTGTGTCCAGCAGGAAAACTTTGTGGAATTTTTAATGAGGTAGAAGGAGTAGATGCCTTTTGTGAGGATTCTATTGTGTAAAAAACCCATATCAGAAACACAATATTGTTCCAAAGAGATGATTTGTATATGAGTCTTAATACATGTCTGGAGGGGACCTTTACATATTTGAAACTAAGGCAGTCTGTTTAAAAAGAATGGTGTTTTTTTTTTTACCCCTGAAATCTGACTCTAAAACAAAAAAATATGTTTATTTTCACTGTATGTTGCCCAAAGCAAACATTAATTAACTTTTACCAATAGGGTAAAATAGGGTTTATTGTCTGAGATTGCCAACACCAGCCCACTGGAGAACTCTCTGGCAGATGGAAGACTTTACAACATTTTAAATTGTTCACACAATATCCGCTTTAGATATGCAAAGGGCTTGAGCAATTGTCATCAGCATCCTCAATCATCAGTTGCTGATGTGATCATCAGCAGCTCAGCTTTGGAAGGCAAACACGTATCCACCTTTTCACCAAAGAACTGCAAAACATGAATGTTTCCATTGAAAGTAAATCACTACTGCAACATGGCTGCAGTTGTATGTAATCAGAAGACTGAGTTGTTTTATGATAATAATAATAATAATATACTTTATTGTCCTTCATAGGAAATTTGTTACCGCAGTCTGCACATACATACATACATACACACATACATACATACATAGATACAAAAAAAGAAAAACACATATGGACACTGCGACATAACAACAAGAATAAACACTTAATAGAGCACATTTAGCACATTAACCCCTCCCTGTCCTGTGCAAAGCACTCACTCACGGCTGTTACCGGGATGCCTTGTTTAAAGACGCTATGGCAGAAGGTACGAAACTCCTGCCATAGCAAGCACGTTTACAGGCCACGGTCCTGTATCTGCGTCGGGATGGCAGCAGTACGAATAATGAGTTGAGGGGGTGGCTGGGGTCGTGTGCTATACTGTGTGCTCTGTGTGTAATGGCTGTATTGTTGAGGTCAGAGAGGTTGGGGGTGGGGAGACCAATGATTTTGGAGGTGTGGTGTGTAATGCGTGTCAGTATGTTCCTATTTGAGGCAGTTAACATGTTGTAGAAGCAGGTTGAACAGTAGAGGATGACAGGTTGGACTATGCTTTTATAGAGTAATAACAGAAGTTGGGGGGCAACAGAAAGTGCATTGAGTTTGCGGATGGCAGAGAGTCTTTGTTGGCAGCGTTTGTGGATGTCACTGGTGTGATGATCGAAGTTCAGTTTATTGTCCAGGGTTAGTCCGAGGTATTTGATGGACTCCACAATCTCCACGGATTCACTGTTGATCATTGTGGGGTTATGGATGAGGTTCTGTGCTGAGCTGTGGATGCTGGAGGTGTTGATGATCAGTTCTTAACATTGAGTTCTAGATGACTGTTTGTGCACCATTGTGCGAAGTGGGAAATGGAGTCCTGGTAGCTTAAAACAGAGTTATTGTCGTTGAGGAGTGCAAGTATGGCAGTGTCATCAGAGTATTTAATATATGTGGTGACAGGTGAGGGGCTGGTGCAGTCATTGGTGTACAGGGTGAACAGAAACGGGCTCAGGACACAACCTTGTGGGGCTCCTGTGTTGGTGATGATGCTGGAGGATGTAGTAGTGCCCACTCTGACTGTCTGTGGTCTGTCGCCGAGGAAACTGTGGACCCAATGAATGAGGAGTGGATATGTGTGTAAAACCTGATGAGTTAGTTCAACTCAAACTGTTTGAGGAAAAAGATCGCAGTTTAAATGTATTAACTAAGGTACGGTACATTAAGTTAATTGTACTTCACTTGGATGCAGCATACAATATGCATGAGTATGTTTCCCTAATGTTTAATAATAATCACCACAAATAAAAATCTTTGAGTTTTTGTTTTGTTAGAACTGGAAGGCGAGCAGTATTCAGTTGTTTGCACACTGGTCCTTTAATGGTTTGGGGGCCAGTTATTGTGCAACAATTGTAATAACTTCTTTTGGTTATAAATGCAGTATGTTGTATCTGAACTACCGGTTGTTTCTTGATGTGTCTCACAGGGCGTAACATTTTAATAATAAAGTATGAATGAATAAAATCTAATTAACATGCAACCTCTCAGTACTGGACACTATGAAATCTGTTCAATATATCCTCCTTTATTTCCTGTTTCTATTTATTTACATTTTAAATGTGTTATTGTCATGTGTGGGGTAACACATGACAAAATGAAGTGTATGGGCAGCCACTATCTCACAGACTATCCCTATAAATGTGAATTCAAATGTCAGTATAATCCTCAAAACAACGTTCTAAATGTGCCAAATTTGGGGAATGCACTTTAAAAATAGGATGTTTCTCATTTGGACTCGCCATTTTTAGATTTATTCTCAAAGTACTGCCTGACTGACTCCACATAGACCACACTGGGTTTGGAAACATACACATAAAGTCAGTGCATTTGCAGTGACATCAGGTTGCTGACTTGTCAGAAAATGTGACACCTTTCCTGTCTCAACACTTTTGTGCTGCACTGAGAAGAGACTCCATCACTCCTCACATTGGGCTCAGGCACAGCGGCACTCTTTTAAACTTACCTCTCAGTATTTTCTTTTCTCATCACAAAGCCCTTTATGTACAACCTTTCTTTCACACACACTGAGCACACATTTATTTTCCTAATAAAGCAAACTCTGTGAAAAAAATAAAATATTTTATCTATTGGTAACACTTTCTAGTAAGCTTCATAAAACAGTTTGTAAGTTGTAACCCATGCCTTTATTAATGGCTGATAAACCATGTACTAATGCTTTATAGATAGGTTGCAACCCGTGGATGCCCCCCCTGGGGTAAGGAAGTCAGGGAGGGGGCTAAATAACGCTCCAACGTTAGGCCACTTTGAGTCTCTCCTCTGCAGACACTTTATGCTGAGGTCCATAAACAGGATCAGGATAGCACACATTGTGGCTGACTGAGCTGAGACTCTTCAGGCCAACCTCTGCAGTCTCAAATGCCCCTGGGGGAGTGGTTCTGACATTCCCGGGTTTCCACAAACTGGGATTGGACATTTGGTGAAGGTGATAATAATAATAATAATATAACATATATAATAATAAAGCATGTTTATGTTTTATATGCTAAAAGGGGGGATGTGGGAGGGTTATGCTGTGTAAAATGTCATCCAATCCCAGACAGACAGACAGATAGACAGACAGACAGCAGACAGACAGACAGACAGACGGGTTGGATATATGGGTGTGTCTTTTTCTTCGAACCCCTCGCGCAGCCTCTCGTGCACACTGCACAGTCTCCCTCCCACTTCAGTCAGTCAGCCACGTGCGCCCACAGCCGCCTCCAACCGGCGGGAAGCACGCGCTGGAATCTGCGGCTGACACTGAAACTTTCTCAGTCTGTCAGGAAGCACCGACCCGGTCCCAGCAGCGGTGGGGGGGTCGCAGGAGGAAGCAACCGGACACAGGAGGGACCCTGGCCGTCGGTGTGACGTTGCGGAGCCTCGACGAGGATTACCGGGCTCTAAAGGCGGGCTGCTTTCTCCCGCTCTAAAAATAGGCGTCTGTCTGTCGGTGCGCCGCCCGCTGCAGGTCCGCGCGCCTCCACTCACACACGGAGAGGTTGGATTGTTGAAAGCTTCAGTCGGTGTCACCGGATTCCTCGTTCCCCTCAAAACTGCATTTTTCCTCTAACAAAGAGAGAGAAGCGTTCCCGGAGCTGCTCGGTGGATTAACGGTCGGTTGTCGGTTGTGTGATTTATTGTTGATCACGGAGGACGGAGCCGGACCCCGCCCGGACCCGCTGTAACGCTACCGGACCGGGATTTCATCTGCTTTTCCTGGGTTCAGCTTTGCGCACTGGCGGATGGAACCGCGCACATTTTACCGGAATATTCTGGGAGTGAGATTGTTTTCCCCGTTAACTAGGCCCTACCGGGAGGAGTAGCTACCTGCTTTTTGGGAGCAGACCGGTTCCAGCCCCGAACGGAAGCCCGGAGAAGTGAAAGGTTATCTGCACTCAAGGACACCCTCGGTTAGGGGGGGTGTAGTTTTCTTTGGACGCTCCAACCGGAGCTGCGCACGGATCTCTACCGGGACTGCAGATGGACGGTAACGGAATTAAAGGTGTTTAGACTTTTTCTCTGCTGCAGCCGGTTTTGGATTTGTCTCTGAGGGACTGCGCTCGAGCCACACAGCTAATGCACACGGATGGCACGAGCTCTGGCGTCCCGGTTACTACTTTAAATACGTTACCGGAGTGATCGGAGGCTAATGGGAGTTTTTTCGGTAACCGTGTGACTCCCTGCGTCCACCCACCCGTCTCGTTGGAGGATTTATGTGTACGTGAGTGCTCGTCGTGGGTTTGCACGGTGAGACCACCGGCACCTGGATTCCCGGTTCGCCCCCTTTTTTCTTCTGCTTGACTGCGCGCACGTCTGTTCCGGTAATCCCACTTGTGCCGCTGCTGCTGTCCGGTCCCCCCCCCTTCCACACACACACACACACACACACACATCCCGTTTATTCAGCCCCAGAAAACTACCGAGATAGCCTCTCTCTGTCTCTCTCTCTCTCTCTCTCTCTCTCTCTCCCCCTGTGTGGATGGGAGAGGAGTCGCGCAGGAGAGGAGACCGGGAGTTCGGAGCCTGATCGCCTTCTCGGGTCTGGTTGTGATTTAACTCCCCCATTATCGGACGGGTCGGGAGAGGAAGAGGAAGAGGAAGAAGGGATTCTGGGGGGAAAAGCAAGAGGAGGAGAGGTGGAGATCGATGAAGGTAAGGCTGATTGATAATGCAGGGTGTGTGAGATGGCGGAGGACCGACCCCCCCCCCAGTACTTTTATTCTCAGTGGGCAGGAATGAATGCTCGCAGTAACGTGATGAGGCTGTGCCGTTAACTCGCTCTAACGGCTCTCTCTCCGTGCGCCGGTGTTGGCACTGTTACCGGACACTCTCTCTCTGTATGTAGAGCTCTCCAAAGCGCGCGCGCACGCCGCTCACGGTGTTTCTCTCCGGTGGCTCTGACGGTGAGAGGCTAATTGTTATTTTGGCGTCTCACTTGTGCGCGGGTGCACCGGCCAGGGCTGGCAGCCCCGCCGCGCCTGTATGGGAATGTGCGCGTGCATGTCTGAGTGGGTGCGTGCGTGAACGCTGGGCTTGTGCGCGCGAGTGGATGGATGCACCCGTTCTTGCGCGCCCGCCTGCGTGTGTGTGTGTGTGTGTGTGTGTGTGTGTGGGAGCGCAGTAATAAAACCCATTTTTGGGTTTTCTCTCTCTCTCTCTCTCTCTCTCTCTCTCTCTCTCTCTCCCCTCTCTCTGTTTCTAAGCTGCCTCATCATGCCGCTCCAGTTGACTGGCGTTACAGCCACATCTATTATGCAGGAGGCTAGGAGATGAGAACACAAGAGGGGAGGTGAGGAGAGGAGAGGGGGGGAGGAAAAGGAGACGTGGCAGAAGGAAAAGGAGGAGGAAAGGTAAGGGATGATAGAGGGAGGGGAGGGTGAGGTGAACAAAGATGGTAGAAGTGAGTGGAGGGAGCAGTAGAGGAGGGTGAGGGAGAGAGGAGGGGAGGGAAGTGTTAAAGAAGGGATGCAAAAAAGACAAGGGCAGAAGGGGGGAGACGGCAATGGGGGTGAGGAGAACAGAAAGGAGAGGGTGAGATGAGGAAAGATGGGAGCAGGGACCAGGGGAGGAAGGGGAGGATGGGGAGGATGGGGAGGATGGGGGAGGCAGTAGAGAGGCAGTAGGGCTGGACGATGTTGGAAACTAACATTAGGCTCTTCTTTGGTGAGATAAGACCAGCAACACACAGCCCTCACTGTTTGACCCGAAGACAGCGCAGAGACAACACAGCAGAGACAACACCGCAGAGGACACAACGGGGCAGAGACGGGCTTTTGTATCGGGAGCGTACAGGGAGCGCAGGGACCAGTGACAGCTCCACACTGAGAGAGCTTCTGTTTCAAAGAAAGATCTGAGAGAGCGGCCTATAAATATCTCCACAGACATCAGAACGAGCTGCTCGCAGTTCAGGGACTGATTCAAACCGGTTGACTGGGATTCAGGACCACGGAGAGCTCTTCGGAGGCAGCCTGGGTTTCAGGACCGCGGAGAGCTCCTCGGAGGCAGCCTGGGTTTCACTTTAGATGTACAGTCAGCACCATGGACAACTCCAACACAGTTCAATGTACACTAAATGGCCAAAAGTCAGTGGACATCTGACCACAGCCTATATGAGCTTGTTGGGCATCCCATTCTAACAACCATGGGCAGTAATATGCAGCCACAACTCTTCTGGGAAGGCTTTTGAGCTGTGTGTCTGCCAGCAGAAGATTTGTGAGGTCAGGCGCTGATGTTGGCTGGCAGTCGGCATTCTGATTCCTCCCAGAGGTGTTCAGTGGGTTTGAGGTTAGGGCTCTATGCAGGCAAATCGAGTTCCACCCCAACATTTGTCTAACCATGTCTAAATGGACCTCGCTTTGTGCACAGGGCCACAGTCACGCTGCAACAGAAAAAAAGAGGCTTCCCCAAACTGTTGCCACACAGTTGTAAACACCCATTTGGATAAAATGTTTTCTTATCCTGTAGCATTAAGCTTCACTGGAACTAAGGGCCCTAGTCCAAACCTGAAAATAGCCATTACACCTCGTCTACCAAACTCTACAGTGCGCACTGTTCATTCAGGTAGTGTTGTCCTGGCTTCTGCCACACTGAATCCAAAGAACACATTTGACTGCTTCATGTGAGGCTAGCATGCAGCTGCTCAGCCATAGAAACTCATTTCATGAAGCTCTCAATACGCTTGTGTGCTGATGTTGCTTACGAAGGCAGTTTGTAACTCTTTAGTGAGCGATGCTGTGTGAGTTTACGTGGTCTTCTATTTCGTGGCTGAGCTGTTGTTGCACCTACGTCCTTCCACTTCACAGTAATAGCACTTACAGTTGACCATGGCAGATGTAGTGGGGCAGAATTGTCACAGACTCACTTGTGGCAATGGTGGCATCCTGACAGTGCCACATTGAAAGTCCCTGAGCTCCTTACAAACCTAAATTCTAAATGTCTGTCTGTGGAGATTTCATGGCCTTATATGGAGATTCCAGTCAAAGTATCCATTGTTCAATGAATTTATTTTAGACTGTGCAGAAGATATACATATACCACAGTAGGACACTGTGTGCGTGTGCGGTCTACGGACATAACAATTATTGTTGAATTAACGTACCTTCAAAGCAATAAAGGTAAATATAACTTTAGCAAACTCAGCAGAAACATAGAAGTAAGCATACTGTATTTAAGGATAGCACAACCATCTGGTAACCTCCATCAGAAATGGGTAGTTAACAGCAAATTAGGGCAAAACTGTGAAACTACTTAAAACATCCCTGGCATGCTACATGTCAAAGAAACATGGAAACAACTTAGATTTGCTCATGTACACACACCAACAAACTTATTCTCGTACATGTGCTAATTAACCTACTCGTTAAGACTAGGCAGTAGGCAGGCTCCACAGAGGTAGTTTGATTCCCACAGACGTCGGGCATCGGGAATGTTTTATCCCATTGTACTCCTCCCCTTGTGATCCGTGATCGTTGACACATTTTCAGGGCACTGTAGGGCGCCACTGTGGGTTCAGACATTGGAGAGCTCTAGCAGCCTTATAGTGAGATCGAGATGATGCTTTCAGGACCACGGAGAGCTCTAGTACCGTTTCACTGCCACAGTGTGAGCTCCTACATGATTTCAGCACTACGGACAGTTCCACAGATACGTTCAAACCAGCTGGAATTCAGGACCGAGGACAGCTCCCCTGGCATTCTCAGGGTCATTGTGGGAGAACCCGATGGGGACCAGGAAGCGCTCCAGCAGATTTACTCCCACAGGCAATCTGTATGAAGGGTATACACCAAGCTTCCTTCACAAATCTGTGACAGTTTTATGCAGCACTGTACAGGTACGCTGTGTTTGAAAGACATAATCAACCTAGCCTCGGGGGCATCAGTGTCAAGGTGCACAGAAGCCAGATGATGCAGACCAGGCAGGAGCTCACAGTTCCATCAGATAGGGTCAGCGGTTGCGTTTGCCTTTGACTACCACGGGAACTGAAATGAGCGTGCAGGGCAGCAGGTTGATGTGGGGAGTGCAGAGAGGGTTCTGCAGGTGTAAACCTGCATGTTAGCAAACATCCTGCCTGCCGAGGCGGGACATTGAATATCTATCACTGTTTCGCAGCTGACCCTGATCTCCGACCCCCCTGTGCAGGACAATATCTGTGGTAGAATCAATAAGATATGTAACTATTATTATTGTGGTTTCAGTCCACGGATACTTGCCTGTTAACTCTAATCTATTTTTAGAATGAAGCATTGGCACTTATAGGTTGCAGCCCCTATAGGAATACAGGCCCATACTGCTGAGTGTCGATATCATATCAGTCAGCTTATTTCTGCTTCTTCAGGATCATTATTACACATATTTCTACTTATGGATAATTCATTTGATATCATTATGCTTTCCATGATGATACTCAGTGCTCAGTCTCATTAGAGAGAATGAAGACTGGTACGTATAGCACAGACGCCCTGAGATGATTTCAGCACCCAAGAGACCGCATTTGAAGTTGCAGTTGGTTAAAGGGAGCCTCACAAGTTGAGAAAGATTCAGGGAAAAGTCGATAGAAAACACAGACAGTTTAGACTTTTGGATTTTGGGGAGGATGCAAGTTGTCTAGCTCTCCCTTGGATTTTTTGTTGTCAATATCATGTCGAGACAGCTTTGATTATTTCTGCAACCCGCTTGAATTCACTGTAAAAGCATGTTAGAGGTGGATGGAATGTCGTGTACATGTTATTATGGTAAAACGTTGCAGAGGCTTGCTGGGCACATAGACAGGCAGACAGACAGACAGACAGGCCAGCAGATAGGCAGACAGACAGGCCAGCAGACAGGCAGCCAGGCAGACACACTCTTACTCATACAGTAAACAAAAGACAGACTGGCTTATAAAAGCGACAGGCAGCCAGGTAGACAGGGAGACGGATACAAAGCCAGACAGGCAAAAGAACAGTCAGCCAGGTGGCAAGCCATCCAGTGTCGTGCTCGAGTGTGATAATAGAGCGTAATGTGTTAATGTGACTGGAGTGATGCGTTGTTTTGTGGCGACTGTTATCATATGGAGAGCATTACAATGTGCTTCACATCCCATTAGCAGAGAGACGGAGAGAGAGGGAGAGAGCACATCCCCACCTCCACACTTACTCTCAGCAGGTTACTCCCCTGTGTTTTCCACCTTCCTCTCCCTATGACACACTGTTGGCGGCTATATTTTCCCTTCTACAGCGCAGAATAGACCCAAACTGTAATTTATGAAAGATCCTCAACACAGACGTCTCAGGTCAAACTCCAACATGTGATTTATAACAAAGGCTCTGGATGCGACAAACTCCCATCACACGTTACCAGAACACAAAGCGATGTTTTGCAATATTTTGAAAGGGGGGGGGTTGACCCCTTATCTACCATTCAGTAAGCTGATTAAGTGACATATTTTATGGATATTTCCTATTATAGTCAATGCATAACAATAACAGTATGCATTGAATATGTGAACAACTGATAAACTGTACAATCCCAAACCCCATAAACCCAAACAGTGAGCCGTGACTGCGGGAAGTTTGTGTAAAATGAGCGATTTGGATGAATTGTGAGCAGATTATTTCCTGTGAATATTGTCAGAGATGAGTTTTCCTGATATTTTAGAAACATTTTATACAATT